TATTATATATAATCTATAATTTGTTTTTTAGTACCAAGGAGTGACTGAAATTGATGGTTCGCTGTCAAGATTCTTCTTTACAATATTGAGTATTGGTAAGTGTTGTAGACTAAATGGTTGATTAATTGATTGATTGGTTGATTGTTGGCTAAATAGTTGGTTGATTGATTGACTGACTGGTTGATTGAATGATTGTTGGCTATAAATAGTTGGTTGATTGATTGAATGGATGATTGGATGAGTGATTGATGGATTAATCAATTTACATGATTGATTGGTTGGCTGTTAGGTTGGTTGGTTGATTGGTTGATTGACTGATTGGTGTCTGATTGGTAAAGAATAAAAACTTCTCTTTCAAATTTTTTTTAATATCAGTAACTGAATTATCAAAATATATTTACAATCCACTTGTTTATTTCAGCTTATTACAGTTTTCCAGACCAAATACTCAACGTCCATTCATTCTCCATGTTAAGATCATGGCTCCTTAACACTGGTGCCATCCAAGCACAAAYCCATGAGGGACCAGTTTATGAKGGACATTCTCCAGGGAATGTGTCCTTCTCATTGGGTTCCCACAACAGTTCRCCAGAAATGATAAACCAATCACCTGCTAAAGACAATTTTACACCCCCAAGTGCTCAAGATAACTTAGACAATATTTCGATCGGTTCCCAGTCATCTAGAGGTACAGTACATTTAGAACATCCAGTTACCTTGATATTACTGTATAAACACTTTAATCTATCCCTGCTSTCAAAAACTGCTCAGAAGACACTCACTATATTAAGTAAAAAATGTGTGTCAGAACTAGGGAACTAGTGAGTTCTGTGGCAATTGCAACTTCCCCACATACGAATGTCTTGGTTTTCACACTAATTATATGTCAACCTATGGGTAACACATTTTTAAAACATGAATTTACTTTTTAATAATACAATCTTTGTATGATTTTTATATTCTGCAGGTTTTAGCCTTCCCAGATCTGCCTCTCCAAGTGATCAGTTACAAAATGTATTCTCACCATCAACAATTTCAGGAAAATCCCCAAGCAGCTCAAGCCCAAGACCTCGTACACCACTAGCTTTCCCATTAACGGCAGAAGACCCTGATGAAAGGCCACCAAGTAGAGGAAGAGAACGCAAAATTTCAAGGAAAATTAGTTTTACAAAGCTTTTTGTTCAACAAGGACCTAAAACTGGCCAACAAGAACTCAGAGAGAAAGCATGTGAATATTGCTTACGGGTTTTGGAACAAAGTGAAAAAAGTAGGTTTTAATTGTAGTCATTGCATAATTTATATACACGCATGTACGCTGTAGAGTGCAATTTCTGTGAAAATGAAAGATGTGATATGTCGTAGGGGTGACGGGTACACAGACAGTTGCATGCGATAAATCGCTTTGTATAAATCAGTGTTAAGGAAATAATGTTTGCAACTTTGAAATGTCT